CAGGAAGTAAAAAAGAGGGTTTTGGGAATAGCGTCAAGCTCTGATCTTGATCCTAACTCAGTGTCGATGGATAAAATTGTACAGACTTACTCATCTCCTCTTTCAAGTTATGAGGAAGTGGTGGCTAATAAGGATCTCTTCATGTCTACATTGAAGAAGTTACACTCTGAAATGGGTACAAAGTTTTGGTGAGAAGAAACTCATGCTCATGTTTTTTTTTTTACCAATTATTGGATATAGTTGCAATCACCAATGTCATAATGCCACACACTCTTGTTCCTGTAGGATTCCGAAAGTAAGATTTAGGGATTTGGACTTGCATAAGCTTTTTGTCGAGGTTACTTCTCGCGGTGGAATCGAAAAGGTAAATATGTAAGCATCATCAACATGAGATTTGAAAGTTGAGAAATCTAAATGTAATCATTTGATGCTTAATGTTGTTTGAGTTTTTGCAGATAGTTAGAGAAGAGAAATGGAAGGATGTATTTGATGCGTTTAACTTCCCCAAATCACAACGAAACCCGATCTTTACTCAGATCGTGCGCAGACACTACTACTCGCTACTTCACAATTACGAGATCATCTACTTCTTCAAAGCTCGTGACCAGTTTCCTCCATGTATATTGCACATTCAGTTACTTGCTACTTCGCAATTACAAGATCATCTATTTGTTCAAATCTTTGACTTATGAAAATGAGCCTCTCTTTTTCAGTGATTGGATTCGTCTATGGAAAAATTAGGAGTGCTTATCTTGTTACTTTCACAATGGGATCACTGAAGCTAGAAGGAGTTCTGTTTGAGTCTACAGAGAAGAGAGTAACTCATGATCCAGAGAAACAGAGTTATAATGTTTTCCCCAATACTTTGACTGATAAAGCCAATCCTTATAAACTTTTCGAAGCAAAAAGCAATCCTTATAAGGCCATATTACAGAACAACGAGGTATACGATACATAACACTCTTAATCTGAGGGTTTCGTTTTGTGTGGATTTTAATCATTGATCATGTATTGTTTCCTTGATACTAATCAGGTTGGCATTGATGATGTGCCGCTGCTGCAACAAAGGACTCCAAAGAAAGAGACTGAAGCTGATGCTTCGATGTACGAATCTGAGGAAGAAGAAGGCTACTCAAGTAGCTACTCAGAAAATGATGAGAACTACTATTCTGACTGCGAATCAGAGCAACGGTTTCCCAGGGATGAGAGCGACTCATGTGGAGAAAGCCAGTGACTTGATTGACACGTCTCTGGTCGCCGGTGAACAGAGCTGAAACAGTTTTGCTTTTAACTCTTTTCTTTGTTTTTTGCACAAAGTTAGAGACATGACTGAGTTTCAGATAGGTTACTTACACCACAAGATATCCCTCTAGGGTTAGTTTAGTATCGTTTAAAGTTTTTTTTGTATAGCTTTCTTGGACTACAAGTCATCTCTCAATAGTGTTCTCAACTGCTTTGTAAAAAGAGAAAAGAGATTCGAATCCAATTTTGTAAATCGAGTTTTGGTAAACTAAGAAAATGCTCAATAATCAAACGGAATTGCGTAATAATTATTTA